TTGTCAATTAAATGTGGTTGACCAATACAATGAATCCTCTATCACCAGCACAAGTACCCCCCCCCCCCCTTCTTCGGCACCATGCAAGCGCTATGGAACATACCTCATCATCTTAATGTTTTCCCAAATATGATAAACATGGTGCAACTTCCTTTCTTTACTCCCCAGGACACAATAAACTCGAACCCTATGTTCTTCCCGTGGCAACCAATGTCAGTGATCCAGGGACACCCCATCATGATCCCAAACCCAGTTCCCATGGATATTCCTCCTCCTCCACCACTAGGAGAAAACTAGGGAAGCGTGATTCCAGTCCCATCGAGTTCGTTCACAGAAATTTCAAGCTTTCGAAACTCAGCCCTTATGATGTTCCCTGAAAAAGAGGACAAAAAAATACATTCTCAACTGCCAGTAGCCCCGAAAAAATGCTCATTCGACCTCAAGCCACCACTGAACACTGCCCTAGCAAAGTATGCAGTAGTGATGACCCCGACCATGTATCGTAGCCGCTTCTTGAACAAGGAAAATCAGGGGCCATATAGCCCAACAATGAGCGGTCTTTTAATGAATCAACCATCTAGCTTCATTGTGTGGAACACTAACGGTGCTAATAGTGATGATTTTAAGAGAAACTTTAAGGAGCTCATTAGGAGTCATAGTACATGCATGGTTGCATTGCTTGAAACTAAGATGGAAAACCATATTAATCTTAATGATGAGTTTGGTTTTGATGACTATTATGAGGTCCCTGCACAAGGCAGGTCTGGGGTATTGTGTTGTTTTGGATTTCCAGCATGGTTACGTTGAACCGCATTAATCATTCCTCTCAAGAGCTTCATGGCATGATCCAGGTTCGTCCTAGTAAGAATTTTTGGTGGTTTACTGCTATTTATGCTAGCACTAAATTAGAAAAACGAAATATGTTGTGGAGCAGTTTAGAGAATATTGTTGTCTCTTATAATGGCCCCTGGCTTATTGCTAGAGACTTTAATGACATTTTGAGCCAACAGGATAAGTGGGGAGGTAGGAATATCAGTATTTCTAAGAGTATTAGATTTAGGGCGTGTGCTAATAATTGCAATTTGGTGGACCTCTATTTTAAAGGTTGTAAATATACTTGGTCTAACCACCATAGAAAAAATTCAACCCTTATCCTTGAAAGATTGGACCGGAGCTTTGCAAATAATGAGTGGATAGATCTTTTCCCCAATGCTACTGTCACCTACCTCCCCAAAACTCATTCTGACCATAACCCCCTTTTAATTAAGCTTTCCAATCACTACCAAACCCCTTCTTGTAGGCCCTTTAAATTAGAAAAAATTTGGGTTAATCACCCTCAATTCAAGAATATCGTTTCTGATTGTTGGTCCAATAGAACTTTACCTGACGCCATTACTTTTTTCCAGATCAAAGTTGTCTACCGGAGTAAACTAACCTTTGGCAATATTTTTCAAAAAAAGAAAGCCATTCTTCGAAGACTGGACAACATCCAAAAATCCGCAGCCTATCCTTACAGCTCTTTCCTCCAGAATCTCGAGCATACGCTTTCTCGAGAATATAACGATTATCTAAAAATTGAGGAAAACTTCTGGAAAATTAGATCTAGGATTAACTGGTTTAATGATGGAGATGCTAACACTAAGTTTTACCATATGTTTGTTTTGAATAGGAGAAGGCGTAATAGGATCACTTATTTCAAGGACGCTAATAATGAATGGATTACCAATTATGCTAGTATTATATCCCATGTCTCTGGTTACTTTAACTCTATCTTTACTACTGATCATATTTGTTCTTCTAACTTCAACTTGGTTCATATAAATAAAAGTTTCATAGGCTTGATCTCTCCCAACTCGACGCCCATCTCCAAGACCATGAAATTACTTAAGCTTTATTCTTTTTCAAACCCTTCAAAGCCCCCATCCCCGATGGTCTTCACCCTCACTTTTTCCAAGCCCATTGGGATACTGTTAGGCAATCTGTGCGCGACTATTCCCATCGCATTTTCCAAACTTATACTATCCTGGAAGATTTAAACAAAACTTTACTTTGCCTCATCTCGAAATTCAAGAACGCTAACCTTTTAAAAAAATTCCGCCATATTGACCTGTGCAACACTGTGTATAAGACTATCACAAAAATTATTGCTAATAGACTTAAACCCTTTTTAAACAAGCTTATTGGACCTTACTAAACTAGTTTCCTCAAGGGAGGGAGAGCTTGTGATAATGCAATTCTTGTCCAAGAACTTATGAATCACATTAATCGTACCAATAGCAAGAATGGCACTCTCATGCTTAAGCTAGACTTAGAGAAAGCCTTCGACCATTTGGAATGGTCTTTTGTCTACCGTGCCCTTCTTTTTTTCAAATTTCCTTCCAACATTACTAAGCTTATCATGAGTTGCATCACTACTTCAAAAACTGCTATATTAGTTAATGGCTCACGAACCAACTATTTCTCGCCCTCTAGGGGTGTAAGACAAGGTGACACCGTATATTTTCATTCTTTATATGTAGCTCATTTCGAATTATATCAACCATCAAGTGGATATTCTCAAGTGGGATCATGTCCCCCTTTGCCCGGGCAACACTGAAATCTCCCATTTATTCTTCGCGGATGATTTAACCCTTGCTGCTAAGGCTAATGCCAAAACTGTCAATAACATGTACTCATGTATGGTTTTTTTCTGCAAACTGTCTGGTAAAAAATTCAACTCTAACAAATCTAAGGCCATTTTCTCTAAGAACTGTTCTTCCTCAATTAATGATCTAGTGCAATCTTTATTTAAGTTTCGCTATTCTGACCACTTTGGCAAATATTTTGATTTTCTTATCCTCAATCATAAGCCAAAAGCTACGGATTTTCAGGATATCATTGACAACATGATCAATAACCTTTTGACTTGGAAACATAACTTTTTAACTCCTGTAGGTAGGTTAACACTTGTTCACTCTACGCTCAATTCCATACATGCTTACTCTATGCAATATTTTAAGTTGCCTACTACAGTCTGCCATCGTATTGATCAGATCCAAAGGGACTTTCTTTGGGGTTCTTCTGGCGTTAAGCATAAATTGCATTATTTATCTTGGTATATTGTCACCATGTCCAAGGATAAGGGTGGTTTAGGGTTAAGAAAGGCTTGTGATAAAAATATTGCTCTTTTGACTGGTCTATCGTGGAGGCTCATTAAAAATCACTCCTCCTTATGGTCCCGTATTCTCATGAAAAAATACAACTGCCCTAGACGCTCTAGTAAGCCTTCATTTATTTATTTGGGAAAACATAACCTTGGGGGGAGCATTTGCTCCAAAGTTATGGCCTGAACCCCAGAAACGGGTACTTATATCAATTGTTGGAATTTTAGCTGGATCCTTTCCCCCTCTTAGACAACTTGTCCAAGGCCCTCTAAATAAGGGAGAAGAGTTTCTTAATCTATCAACTTTATGAAATGGCTCTGCTAGGGATTGGTCAAAAAATTTCTTTCAACCTTAATGGAGATATTATTGAGAAAACTTCCCTTATTTGCCCCAATCCTATCGCGGGGGCCATCGATAATCCACACTGGGCTGCCAATTCCAATGTCAATATCTCCACTACGTCTGTGTATGATGTTATCAACCCTCCAGTATCTTGTGGCTTCACTTTCTCTTGGTTCTGGAACCTGCGAACCCATAATAGGATAAAAAAAATTCTTTGGCTTTATTCCCATAACAGACTTCCCACAAGAGATTATCTCTATCGTATTGACATGTTCCCTGACCCTATTAACCCTATTTGTAAATGTGACAAGGAGAACATTGAGCATATTTTTTTCCACTGTTACATTGCCAAAAAATGCTGGTTGGATCTGGGCTTAAATACTTCTTTTTTCCAAAGGGACAATAATCACTGGCTCTATACCCTCAGAAACTTAAATTTTCCCAACCTAAACACTCATTATCCTTGGGTTGTTCTCTTCCCCCTAACCCTTTGGCAACTCTGGGGAATCGCAACGATAATACTTTCAAGAACCTCACTACCATGATCAACACCCACACTATTAAAAATCGTGCCATAGAATTTCACTACCTCTCCAATTCTTCTGGTAAGGAGGAAAATACTAAGATCTGTGTGAAGTATCAACCTCCCACTGGCTTCTTTAAACTGAATGTGGATGGCGCGTTTACCACTTCAGAGGAGGGAACTGACATCGATGGTGTCGTTAGAAATCACTCAGGCGACTAGATTATTGGCATTTTTTAAACAAAAGTAGGGCACAAAACCACGCCATGGCCGAACTAGAAGCTTTTCACATGGGTCTTTCCTTGGTTCACTCTCTTAAAATGGGCACGATAGAAGTAGAAACAGACTACATTGAGATATTAAGACTGTTAGACCATCCTCAACCACCTTACGAATCTATTATATTTGATTGCAGGTCACTGTTGAAGAGGTTGCTGAATCCAGTGGTCCGCCACAACTTTAGGGAAGGGAACTACGTAGCAAATATTTTGGCAAAGCAGCGTTCCAAGCTAACAAGTTATAATATGGATACCATCTTTTAATCCCCTCCGAACATTGTCAAATTCCAGCTTACAAATGACAAGAACAAAGTAACTTCCTCTAGACTAGTTAAGCTTACTACGTGTAATAAGTTAGCTTGTTTCGGAAATCTGGCTGTAACTAATAACCCATATAGGGTTAATGAAACTACTGTACCCCTTAATTATATATATATATATATATAGCATGATCTTATTATCCATAAAAAAACAAAAAAAAAAACATAAAGTAGTGGGACTTAAGTTTACGAAAAATATTTCAGTTTTAGTCCTTCGTGAATCTTGAAATCTGCATTAAACTCATATATATATATATATATATATATATATATATATATATATAGCATGATCTTATTATCCATAAAAAAACATAAAGTAGTGGGACTTAAGTTTACGAAAAATATTTCAGTTTTAGTCCTTCGTGAATCTTGAAATCTGCATTAAACTCAGTTCCTAAAACCCCAGAACTGTTCGTGCAGACTCTGCAGAGAGAAGCAAAAATTTGATCTTGCCGGAGAAGAAAGAAGACATTCACATTAATTCGATAAGTAAATATGCAGAAGGGCTTCACTCTCCTTCAGACAATTGCAATTTCAGGTGTATTTTCTGCTGTTTCTGGCTGGTAATAAATCACCTCTATACGTATCTTTCTCTATGTTAAAGAACGTTTTTTTCAGCTCAATTTCTGTCAGATAAACGGTTCAATTTCAATAAAAAGATAATCTAAGAAGTGGGTTTTGGTTGGATCGACGAATTTGTTATTATTTATAGGTATGGGTTCATGTTTGGGAGAGAATCTGCTCGGAAGGAGCTTGGAGGTTTGATTGAAGATCTTCGAAATTCAAATTCTGACTCCGTTTCACCTACCCCTTCTCACTCTCAAGAGTAGCAGGTATTCTACCCCACCCCCTTTAATATGTATTCACTTCGTCCCAATTTACTGGCACTGACAAAGTTTAAGAAAGAAAATATAGCACTTTTGAAATATGTGGTTTAAAACACTCCTTGACCACTTGTGTGATGAATCATTTCATTAAGGGTAAAAAAAAGTGGGATTTTTAAAGTTAGATTGTTTCTAATTATAGAAAGGTGACATGTTTTTGGGACGGAGGGAGTATATGTTACATACTTCTTCTTTATCCGAAAAGGAGGGGTTTATATTAAGATGGTCAATGCTAAGAATGTTAACTTCGGGTTGGTAACTAGTGCCAAACTAATTGGTGTAGATGTGATATGACTTTAGGCTTACATAGATGTATTGTGTTAATTGGATTTGACTGCAATATGCGAGAAGCCTTAGCTTCTCAATGATGAATCTTAGGAAAAGGTTAAGATATGAATGCCGTTATTTCATTTACTATCTGTAATCTGTTGCAGTATGTGAACTTGTGATGAATAGACATGATTCTACTTTGGTGTGTGCTTCTGTCAAAACATGGTCATTACTAGTTTACGATGCATGTACAGGCTATGGACAAACTGTTGTTATCATTTTGTTAACTTGAGATGAATAGTTCCTAACAACTTAGTATAGATGTAATGTAACTCTAGGCTTACTTAGATGTATTTTGTTTATTGGATTTGACTGCAATGTGCTAGAAGCCTTAGCTGCTCAGGTGATGAATCTTGGAAAAACGGTTATGATATGAATGCGATTAGTTACTTTATTATCAGTAGTAGTATATCGACTTGTGATGGATAGACATGATTCTACTTTGGTCTGTGCTTCTGTCACAACATGGTCATTACTAGTTTACGATGCTTGTATCGGCTATGGAAAAACTGTTGTTACAATTTTGTTAACTTAAAGATGACATTGTGATTTAGGGATGCCTGTATTGATGGATGATACTAAGAGAACATTGCCCATTTTGGTTGTTTATGTGTCGGAAATTTTATAGGTTAAGAGATTTTGTAACTTACCTTATTAAAAAAGGTAAGAAATTTTATAAATTTAGGAAGGTTGCAAGTTTTTTTAAACAAATGCTAGTAAATTTATTCTTTTTCTTATTGAATTTAGAGCATCTTTCGATTTAATTAGTTTATACAAATTCTTTAAGGATTTGCGAGAGGGGCAATCTTTTTTCTAGTTTTATTTTCTTGTCTTAGGTTTATTAGCTCTATTTATGACCAGGACTTTGACATATGGCATGGTCTACTGGTCTGCACTCTTACAAAAGTTCACCAAACATGTATTATTTTCATTTTAGCTGGAATAGCTAAGACATTCAATAAGGAAAAGGAAAGATATTGATTGTTCTATCTTTGGTTTCTGAGGTGAATAAATTATTTAGTTGGTTATCACCCAGAAAAGTTAGAAAAAGTGTGTTTTTTTCCAGAGATTTTGGTGGAAGAGTGTGAGGGAAAAATGAAATAATTGCAGTACAAGAATACTGGGGCATACTAGCTGCTATGATTTTCTTTGCCTTTCTTTTATAACCAAGAAATCTACGAGGGCCAACATGGTGATTTTGTTTGACCCTCTACTCTTCTCTACTTAAAATTCCAGTCTTCTATTTGCAGCAAGGTTTGAACTCGTGCTTTGACCACTAGATCAAAGGCTTGAGGGCGACTTTTTTTGCCTTCCTTTATACTGAGGATACCCTGTCCTCTTCTAATCAGGTTCAACTATAATTCAAATAGGGATGAAAACTGAAAGCTTTCAGAGTTCATGAATACTTGAATCACATGTCATTATTGCCTTTGCGTAGTCTTTACTTTGATCCCAATTAGTTGATAGTTGATACTTTAACAAAATGAACCAGCCACGATTCTCAATTTTTTTTATCCTAAAAAATGAACCAGCTATGTCCTATTAATAGACAAAGCAATTTCTATCACATTTCTTCACCAGAAATAATCTAGCTAATTTTCGTAAAAGCAATCCTTTTTTAATCTTTATCTTCAAATTTGCAGGTGCTAAGGAAAAGTAAGATGATGCAACTTTGGACGACAGTAGAGAATGATCCCTCATTTCTTGTTGAAGCTGAGATAACTGAAGGTACATAGACGTTGGCAGGAAGCTCTTTGAGATCGTGACGACAGTTCAGATTTCATGTTTTTCTTGTTCTTCTGCTGGAAAATGTGCTCCTTGTTCATGATAACTAAATCACCTTTACAATTGAGACAGAAGTCTGTATAACAATGTTCTTCATTGAGAAGGTAGTATAATTGTGTTGGATATTGAATGTTATGATTACTGGCTTATTTTGTCCATTCCATGCAACTATTCAAATTCTGCAGTAGAAACTCTATCTGGGAAGTTTTATGTTAGTATTATTTTGGTCACTATTCTAGTTCTATAAATCTTTTGGAATGGGTTATGTTTTTTTTTTTTTGTGCTGAGGTTGGGAGGGAGGAGGAGCTCTTGTAAATCTAGTTTGATTAAAAAGGTAAAGACTCTGATAACTGGTTTTTGACATGTACTGGGTCTTTCCATCGTAGATTCATCCTGATTTGTATTTACCTTTCAGGGGACGTTGACATTGTTAGCTTGTTCCTCTTGTAAGGGTGAGAAAAGGTACAATCTCGAAAGATCTTGTAAAATTGTGTCAATACCTTTTGCATCTGGAATAACTTGAACTTTATTTCTGTTAGTTTTTCTTTGTTATATGAGCTCTTAACATTATTACATTCTTATTGTGGCTGAGAAGATAACATGTGTGACAAATATCTTCAAGCGGTGAACCTTGTTCAACAAACTGTCAAATATTCATAAACATGGTTAAATAGTTAATTGCTAAGAGCTCAAAAATAATTCCATGGAGGCTTGAAAGCCTGAAATTATCACCATCTTGCTGATATGTTTCTAATCTGTCAGCATCAGTTGTTGCTTCAGATGATTATATACATTGAATAGGGTAGTGTGATCTTCTCTACTTGAAATATCCATTGGGTAGCTATATGTTTGTCATTCAAGTAGATTGCTCGTTGATAATTAATATCTAGAAGGAAGAAAGTGTAAATATTAACAGGAAAATGCATCTGTAGGAAGCAATATTATTAGCTCCTTTATTCTTCAATAATAAATGTGGACGGCAGATTTTTTTTTATTTTTGTACAATGAAAAGAATATGCTTATCCAAATCTTTGTATGATACTGTCTCATTGTTCTCACTGTCCCAATGACCCAGAGCTTCACAACCTCTGAACCAGGGTGGCAAAGGTCGACTCACTTAGCTTCTTTTTCTCGTCTCCAGTGACCCAGAACTTCACAACCTCTGAACCAGGGAGGCAAAGATTGGCATACTTAGCTTCGTTTTCTTGTCTTTTATAGTTTAATTTCAGACACAGGCTCAAATTCTTGTGGACTCTTCTAGGTGCTATGAGAATGACACTTTAGTACTCTATGTGCCACTTTTCTTTGCTAACCTACAATGGGATAACTATATTACATGTATACAGATCCGTATCTTTACACTACTGCAACCTCTGTAGCTTTCTTAGTATGGCTCTCTTTGATAAATCTTACATAGAGGTCTGTCCTGCTTGAGTCACACTCTGGAAGGTTAGCATTTCGACCTCCTTCAGACATGCTCTTCACAAATTGCACTAGATTCCGCCAATTTTCTGGCTCAAACAACCGTTTGTTCATTCGCAAGAATGTAAATGCACTCAATCCATTTCCAGAATCTGACATGCTTGTTGCCAAAACTTGAGAAAATGCTCCTCCATCATACCTTTCTAGAGCATTTTCTCCAGCAAGTTCTACTTCAGCAGTTCTAGCTGCAGTTTTAACTTGTCGAACTAAGCCTTCTGGTGAACAGTTTGCACTCTGGGGCTGTTCACCATCCCTCATTTCCATACATGTAAAGTTCATTACAACACCATGTTTCGCTAACATACGTGCTATAGGTAGATAACCATCTCTGTGTCTTGTATTATAATATCCTGAAGTTAACTCTGCAGCATGTGATCTAGTATTGTAATGCCAATGAATCCCAGCTACCTTTCCAGATAGTTTAGCCCCAGTTCCTTGGTATATACTTTCTCCTGCTGCTAGTATTCTGTCACCATGCTCCAGTAGCTTTCCTGAATACCACTCTAGGAAGAACTGTCCATATTCACTGTTCCATGTTCCATCCCTCTGGAAAAATCCAGTATCCTCAGGAAACTGGTTGTACTGCCCAGAATCATGAGGCCCTCCCTGGCCCCAGTCATCCTTTCCAGCTGCCTTGGCCACTGCTGCGAATGAAGCTCCCATGTACTACATTAACAAAAAAGACATTAGTTTTTTTCCCTACATCTGAAGATCTTCCTACTTTTTTTGAGCCATAGATGCAAGTAATTACCTTGTCATAGCATTGGAATTCTCCAATTCCAGGAAACCTCCATGTACCATTGCTTTCTGGATAGGCTGGATATCTTAGCTCTCCACAAGGACCCATTCCCACTTGAATTTCCTATAGAAGAAAACAGAATGTCAATTTCAAGTTTTCCTACAATTTTAGCTTGGAAAATTCAACATGGGTATATAAGGAGGTCCCCTGTGTCATTTGTATGATTCTATTTACTTAAGTGGTCCACTGTTTAGATTCGTAACCAGCAAATTAAGTGGACCACATGACACTAACATAAAGTAACTTTTTGATTCTGCTTATTCAGTTGTTTTCTTATCCAGAAGGGGAGCCATACGTAACTGGTAAAGTTGATGCCACGTGATCAAAAGGTCACGGGTTCGAGTTGTGGAAACAACCTCAACCCTTGTGGTCCGGCCCTTCCCCGGATTCCGTGCACGGGAACTTAGTGCACCGGGCTCCCCTCTCTACTTGTTTTCTTATCCACCTTTTTCTCTTTTGGAAAAATTGCCTGATCTGTTTTTGTTTAGATTACTTCAGATTAAACTTCAGCCAATACTTCTTCTAGATTTGGTTGAATTATTTATTCTCTATC